CCCGCCGCTCCTCCGCCCTCCTCACCGCCGCTCCTCCGCTACACCTCACCGCCGCACCTCCGCTACACCTCACAGGTACCGCTACACCTCCGCCTTCCTCACCGCTCGGGATGGCAAGGGGCGCAAGACGCCCACGCCGCCGCCGCCGGCTTGCGGCGGCGGCGGCGGCGTTGCGCGTGAGCGGGGGGCGAGGCGCACCGCTCCACCGCTCTAGACGCGGACTGCAGATCCTTGCCCTCCGACTGGCACTCGAGATCTCCCCACATCTCCCCAGATCTCCCCATATCTCCGACTGGCACTCGAGATCTCCCCACATCTCCCCAGATCTCCCCATATCTCCGACTGGCACTCGAGATCTCCCCACATCTCCCCAGATCTCCCCATATCTCCGACTGGCACTCGAGATCTCCCCACATCTCCCCACATCTCCCCATATCTCCGACTGGCACTCGAGATCTCCCCACAGCTCCCCAGATCTCCCCATATCTCCGACTGGCACTCGAGATCTCCCCACATCTCCCCATATCTCCCCATATCTCCCCATATCTCCGACTGGCACTCGAGATCTCCCCACATCTCCCCACATCTCCCCCCATCTCCGACTGGCACTCGAGATCTCCCCACATCTCCCCAGATCTCCCCATATCTCCGACTGGCACTCGAGAGTGACCCCGTGATTGCTTGCCCGCCGCGGCAGAGCACGCGCAAGGCCTCTCGTGATCTCCCGCGATCTCCCGCGACCTGCCGTGATCTCCCGTGATCTCCCGCGATCTCCCGCGACCTGCCGTGATCTCCCGTGATCTCCCGCCCGCCGCCGCAGAGCACCTGCGCAGTCCCCTCCTGCAGCCTCATAGGGGCCTCCCACGGGCTGGCGTAGGCCCGCCGCCGCCGAGCACCTGTACGACTTGTTTGGCATCGCCGTCCACCACGGCACGATGCAAAACGGCCACTACACCGCCTACATCCGACGGCGCGCGCCGCCGCGCTCCACGCCCGCGCGCCCCGCGCACCCCGTCTGCGCGTCGACTCCGCGGCACCCGCATCTCCCCATATCTCCCCGTCTCTCCCCCGTCTCTCCCCGTCTCTCCCCCGTCTCTCCCCACACCCCTGCGCGGCTTGACTCTGCGGCCGCACCTTTCTGTTCCAGGCACGCGTCGTGGTTCCACTGTGACGACGCCTCCGTCACGCCGGCGACGCCAAAGGCGGTGCGCTCCTGCAAGGCATACCTCCTCTTCTACATCCGAAAGGCCGTGAGCTGACCGGGCTCGACACTCGGTCGCGCTGCCAGGGGGGGCGCAGGCGTGCTCTCTGATACTCTGTGTCGTTTCACTCGGTTGGCGCGTGTGCGGCTGCGCGTGTGTGAGCGTACTAACCCGGTGAGAGATCGCGTGGTTGGCGCGAGAGTGCGACCCGGGACCGCTGCGCAGACAAAAAGGGAGAGTGTGCTCGCCCCACGCGCCCCGGCCGCTCGCTCGGGGGCGGGGGGGGGGGGGGGGGTCTTTTTTCCCGATCGGCCGGGTTACCGCAGCCCGCACCCATGCCCGATGCCACACCACCTCTTTGAGTCTTTGACTTTGGCCGGCGTGTCCCACTGGGGGTGCACTGACGAGCACTGTCCCCGCCCGCGCCCGCGCGCCCGCGCCGCAATATGCATGTAAAACATGTCAACTTCTTGCAATCGAATCCCCCCCCAACACATGCACACGTGCGTGGGACTCGTAAATATCCACGATTCCAACACACACGACAAGGGCAAGGTGGAGAGTGGACGTGAGCGCCCTGCGCCGGAGGAGCGGCTCCTTCCGGCGCCGGCGTGTGTCGAGCCCGGCCATCGCGATACGAGGTACTCCACGGCCTTCCGTTATGCGAACGCATGCCTGCCCATCAATCAACTGATCAAATGTACAAGGAGCTGCAGAAGAAGTTCGCAACCTATCTCTGAGCTTCCCGTTGCTGGAATTTACATATCGGCTTCCACCGCGCGGTTCGTTTTCTGCGCTGGGGCCGCGGCGGAGTAGTCCATCTGGTCGGAGCCGCGGTCTGCGTCGTCGGGCTTGTACAGCTGCGGGTCGTACGAGCCGAGGGCGCCCTTTTTGAACAGCATGCCGCCGTGCTCAGGGAAGTAAATCCCGAAGAACAGGACCGAGGTGGCCATGATGACCGCTCCGAGGATGATGAATCCCGCGTCGACGTCGACGTCGGGGGCGATGATGCCACGCGTGCCAATCACGGCGCCCAGGTTGCCGCCCGCGCCGACCATGCCCGAGACGACGCCAAGGGCCGGGCGCGAGACGTACGGGACGATACCGAAGTGCAACCCCTCGGACATCTGGACAAAGATGGAGAAGAAGACCATGACGGTGAGGGCGGTGCCGAGCAGGCCGTCGGTGTTGGCAACGCACTCGTCGCCTTCCGGGCGGTACCCGTAGTCGCCGACCATGATGAAGGGCTCGACGGTCGGGAGCACCACCTTGGCCACCTGGGCCGTGCCATAGTTGAGCCAGACGCCGCCGATGCCGGGGACTTGTTCGTTGGTGTTCGTGTCAAAGTAGCCGCCTCCGATCTCGTCATAATCCTTGGTGTTGCCGTAGTTGGTCTTGATCGAGTCGAACCCGCAGGGCGGCACCCACGCGCCCTTTTGCGCCGTGATGGTGTAGGTGTAGGGGTAGCCATCTGGGCCGCCAAGGCCATAGGTGTAGGGGTAGCCCGACGGCGCCAGGGTCGAGTTGAACTGGCCCCACATGCCGTCGCCGTCGTTGGCGGGTGCGCACGTGTACGGTGCGAGGCCCTCGCCTGCCCAGTCGACGGTATTGCCCGCGAGGAAGGATTCCAAGACCGAGCAGTCGCCGGCACCCTTGGCCTTGGTCCATGAGACGTCCGTGAGGCCGCCCGAGAACCCTCCGGTCCACGGACCCAGGGACGCCTGGTCCTTGTACATGCGCGTGGGCGAGGGCTTGCTGATGCTGATGAGGCCGAGGATGATGCACATCAGGCCCTCGAGCGCCTGAATGACCCACATGGCCCAGATGCGGCCGCGCATGCCGTACTTCGCGTTCATCGTGTCGGAGAGGATGCCTCCCCACGAGCGCGCAAAGATGTTCATCAGCCCGAAGATGGAGCCGTAGATGCCGGCCATGCGCTGCGGCACGCCGTAGTACTTGTAGAAGTAGAGCACGCCCTTGTTGTTCATCGTGAGCTCGACGCCGAAGCAGAATGCGTAGCCGATGAAGAGGATCCACGCGTTGATGTTGGAGAAGCCGATCATGGCCGTCTTGCAGCCCGAGGTCTTGTTCTTGGCGCCCGACTTCTCGAGCTCGCGGTAGTTGCCGTCGGGGAGGTCCTGGCCGCTGATGACGCAGAGGGAGGAGATGACGTGCAGCGCCGCGGGGACGATCATGCAGAGCCTCCACGACTTGTCCACGTCCTGGTCCTGCGACTGCAGGATGCCCTCGTAGATCAGCGGCATGACGAGCTGCGTGACTCCACCTCCGAGGTTGCCCCAACCGCCGGCGGTGGCGTTGGCGGTGCCAACGATGCTCTTCGCAAACATCTGCGAGCACCACACCTGGCACGTGACGAAGGACGCGAGCGAGAGGCCGATGATGGCGCGCGCCGCTTTGAGCTCGGTGGCGCCCTCGGCGAAGGCGAGGAGAACGATGCCGGGGATGCCGATCCAGAGGAGGCCGAAGAAAGTCCAGCGCGCGCCGAACTTATCGCAGAGCGGCCCGGCGAGGATGCGCATGATGATGGTGAAGGAGACGGCCAGGGCGCCCGAGTCGGCAATGTCCTGTGGCGTGAGATCGAGCCCGCCGTCGCTCTTGTCCTTTTTGAGGGTGGGCATGAGTGCGGCGGGGGCGAAGACGGAGAAGAAGGTGGAGAAGAAGCCAAACGTGGCTGCCCAGAAGGCGCGCATGTGCGGCTGCGCGACGTTGGGGATGATGTAGGGGAAGGTGTTGTTGAACATGACTGGGAACAGCAGGGTCGCCTTGTGCTCCTGCGAGGGCAGTCGTGGGGGCGGGTCGAGGACGTGAGCGCGGAGGGAGGTGGAGCAGGGCGCGCGTGCGCCGTGGCACGGGCGGGAGCCCCCACAATGTGTGTGTGTGGGGGGGGGGGGGGGGCACGGCAGCGCGCGCGGGTGCGTCCGCACATCGTCGACGGGAACAGCAAAGGTCCGCCCAAAGACATCCTTGGTCATCTTGGTGTTCATCCCCTTCTGCTCGAGAGCGAGGTGGAGCGTCGCGATCTCCTGCTCCAGCAGCTCCATTCTCGACTGGTCCGACATGCCACTGTAGAGCGACCGCCCCCGCTCGATTCCAGCTCTATCCCCCTCAACCGGGCCAGCCAGAGCCGAGGTCAAGTACGAAAACATGGTGAAACGTCCGATCCCAGAGGCCGAGGTTGTCGGCCGACAACCTCGGGGCGTGGGATCCGGGGGACACATCCACTCCCCTCTGCCACCGAGAATCCGAGATGCGTCCGTCTCAACGGCGCGCGCACATCCATCGTTGCTTCGTGCAGTATGCCTGGTGCGACCTCGAGCTGGATCTAGCTGGGCCGCGAGCGACGTGCCGTCCACCACCGGGAGAGGAGGGCGCGGAGCGAGCCAGATCGCCCCGGTCGGCGCGCAGGGTTCGCTGGCACAGGTAGGTAGAAAGGTGAAGAACAGCCAGGCTCGGACTGGACACCAACGCGGTATGGGTGGACGCTGGACAGATGATGACGACACGCACGAGCGACACACAGACACAAACAGGCTCACAAGACACACTCATCCAATGGTGAGTACCCTACGACTGTCGCGCCCGAACCCTCCTATGCACGGTACGATGGGCATTGCGAGCTGCTTTGCGAGATGGCTCATGCTGATCGCTGGTCTCCTCTCACTCTGCGAAGCGAGCGAGGAGATGCCTCGCTGCATCTTTGCTGGCGCCAGCCTGCGCACCAGGTCGGGAGCCGAGGTGGGCTGTCGAGAGCTCGGCGGCAAGAGCGTGGCGCTCTACTTTGCTGGCGAGTGGTGTCCGCTCTGCCGGCGCTTCACGCCCGCCCTGCACTCATTTCACGAGCAGTACAGAGACACGATGCAGGTCGTCTTTGTGTCATCCGACATGAGCCAGGACGACGCGCAGGTGAGCTGACCGGGAGCAGCCAGGCCGTCGCCGCCTCCGTCGGACGCCACGATTGCCCTTGCCATTCTCCGTTAGGCTCACTTTGAGTCGCAGCAGGGCGACTGGCTCGCCCTCGGCTGGGGAGACAGGCGCACCGCCTTCGGAGACATTCCGACACTTCCGAGACACTTCCGAGACGCACGCGAGACCCTTCCGAGAGACACTGCCCTAGACGATTGCGCCGCGCTCTCCCCGCTCGGCGCCCTCTCCCCGCAGCCGTCGTGACACCCTCGCGGGTGTCGCCGCGCCGGCGCGGTCCAGAGACGGCGGCTGTCCTGACTTATTCTCACGCTTCTCTCTGCCTCGCAGCCTCGCCGCCGAGCTGAAGCGGCGGTACGGTGTGTGGTCGATGCGCGAGGCGGAGAGTACCCGAGATTTCCCGAGATTGCCGTGTGGTAGAGCGCGAGGCGGAGACAGAGCTCTTGGCTCGCGAGCCCGAGTGGGGAGCGGCGCGGGCAGAGAGCACACAGCTATGAATAGGCGGGCGAGTTTGGCATGCGCGGCCGCCGCGCAGGCGCGCACAGCGCGCACACCGCCTCGCGTACCGCGCCCCCTCTCGCCCTCTGGCTAGGGCGCGTGCATGACTGGGCGGCTGAACTGTCCGCCGCGCAGGCGTGCCGGCTGTGGTCGTCATCGGCAAGGGCGGCGAGGAGCTCGCTTTCAGCCAATCAAACGGACACCTCCAGGGGATGTGTAGAAAGGAGCGATTCCCCGCCCATGCGATAGGAGCTCGCTTTCCTGCCGGGCGAGCGGCACGGCGCGGCGGCCTTGCGCGAGTGGCAGCCACAGAGAGCATCGGCGTGGCCGGACGAGCTCTGACGCCGCGGTCCGATTCCGGGATATTCGTGCAGTTGCAGGGCCGGGGTGTGGGTGGTGGGTCGAGGGAGGGACCTAACCGCGCCGTAGAGTAGCGAGTACGCGCGCGCGGGGCCGCGTAGCGTGTACGTACGTGCCACAGTACATTGTGGTGCCACCGCACTCTAACCCCCGCATTATAGATAAGAGAACGGTTCTCAGAGCCCAGGCGCGAAGATCGAAGTCCGAGGACCGACACGCGAAGCTTGACGGCATGCAATACACAACACCACACTGCCAGGTCCTCACGAGACACGACGCGCCGCGCGCGCTCACGAAACCTACCTACTCCGTCTCGCGCGCGATGGCGAATCCCAAGACGCAGTGGCCAAAGTCGAGCGCCGCGATGCCGTTCGTGGCTCCTGCCGAGTCGAGGTGGTACCGCTCGTGGATCTCGTAGAGCGAGAGGACGAGGCGCGCCGCCCGCGCGCGGGCCGCCGCGGGGAAGAGCGAGTGGCTTGCCGGCGACCATGGCGCCGCCGCCCGCCGAACCAGCGCCGCCGCCTCGCCCTCGCCGCCCACAGCGCGCTGCAGCGGCGTCGGCTCGCCCTCGTGCAAGCTTGCGCCGCTGCGCAGCAGGGAGGTGGCGCGGGCGGCGGTGAGCGTCTCAAGGTGCGCGAGCGGCGTCCAGCCGCGGCTGGCGAGCAGCCAGGCGGCGAGGTCGGCTTGGCCTTCGCTATTTGCAATCGATTCGGCCATGCGCTCGGTGCCGCGGGACGCGCCATACGAGGAGAGGAGCTTGACGATCTCGAGCCTACCGTGCTGAATACGCCAGCCTCAGGGCGGGAATACGGTATCGTGTAGTGTCTTCAGAGCACCGCGTGAATACAACGGAGAGGAGTACAGTGAATACAGCGGGATACGGGTGAATACAGCGGAGTACGTGTCCTCTCCGGCGCTAGTTGGGAGACAGGAATACGTGTTCCGCTTCTAGGATCTCGAGCCGGCCAGACACGCACGAGACGAGCAGAGGCGTGACGCCGCTGTTGTTGGTCTGGTCGATCGCCGCGCCGGCCTCGAGGAGCAGCCGGACGATCTCGACGAGGCCCGCGGCGCACGTCATGAGCAGTGGCGTTGCGCCACTGTTCGACGCTTGGTTGATCGCCGCGCTCGAGCGGAGGAGCAGCCGGGCGCACTCAGCGTGGCCGTGAATGCAAGCAGCGCTCAGCGGCGTGAGTCCGTCACCCTCGGCCTGGTTGATCGCCGCGCCAGCCTCGAGGAGCAGCCGGACGCACTCGAGGTGGCCGTTCTGGCACGCGATGTACAGCGGAGTGGCGCCGTCGTCACTGGCTTGGTCGGTCGCCGCGCTGGCCTCGAGGAGCAGCCGAGCGATCGCGATCTGCCCCTCCTGGCACGCGACGAGCATCGGCGTGCGGCCTTCAGCGTCTGCTTGGTTGACCGCCGCGCCAGCCTCGAGGAGCAGCCGGGCGCAGCTGATCTCGCCAGTCAAGCTCGCAGCACTCAGCGGCGTGGTGCCTTCATCATCGGCTTGGTCGACTGCCGCTCCAGCCTCGAGGAGCAGCCGCACGCACTCGAGGTTGCCCTTCTCGCATGCGATGTACAGCGGCGTGGTGCCTTCTCCATCAGCTTGGTTAATCGCCGCGCTAGCCTCGAGGAGCAGCCGGACGCACTCGACATGGCCCTCCTGGCAGGCGATGTACAGAGGCGTGGCGCCGTCCTCGTCCGCCTGGCCGACAGAAGCGCGGGCCTCGAGGAGCAGCCGGGCGCACTCAATCTGCCCCTCCTGGCACGCGATGTACAGCGCGGAAGCGCCGCCGCCAGTCGTCGCCCCGATGCTCGCGCCACCTTCGAGCAGCAGCCGCACCGCCTCGGCCTGCCCGTGACGAGCGGCCAAGGTCAGCAGCGTGTCCTGATTCTCGGTGTCGTGCCGCGCGTCGAGCTGGGCCGCGAGCGACGTGCCGCGCGTCCGCCGCCCGGAGAGGAGGGCGCGCAGCGAGTTCAGGTCGCCCCGGGCCAGGTCTGCGAGGATGGGCGCTGTGGCGCAGCTGTCTGCTAGGCCCCTCGGTGTTCACAGCGGAGTGCCTGGATTCCAGCAAAAGAATTCAACAGCAAAAGAATTTTAAGACCAAACTCCCTAGGAGGAAGTGACAAGGGAGAGAACGACGAGAGTGGGACGGCCGCGAGGTGGCATGAAGGTTGCAGCGAGAATCGGCGAGAGACTGCGAAAAGAGATAGGAAGAGGCAGACTCCCTATGGTGGGCGACGGCTAGCGCATCACACTCCTCTCCTTAAAATCCCTGTGTGGTGGCGGCGTGCCGTCCTCCCATCCCTCCCTTGGGTTGTCTGTTTTCTTTCTTTCTTTCTTTTCAAACTCCCTAGAATTTTTCCACGCACTGTGCTGCAATACCAAAACAACAACTGTGCTGTGAATCGAGTGGCAACCAACAGCTCTAGCCCCCGTTGGTTCTGCAACAGAAACATGCGCAAAAAAACTCACCGCGCTGCACGTCGAAACCTACTCCGTCTCGCGCGCGATGGCGAATCCCAAATCCCAAGACGCAGTGGCCAAAGTCGAGCGCCGCGATGCCGTTCGTGGCTCCTGCCGAGTCGAGGTGGTACCGCTCGTGGATCTCGTAGAGCGAGAGGACGAGGAGCGCCGCCCGCGCGCGGGCCGCCGAGGGGAAGAGCGAGTGGCTTGCCGGCGACCACGGCGCCGCCGCCCGCCGAACCAGCACTTGGAGCACTTGGAGTGCAGTCAGTAACCGCACATCCAGGGCCGGGGAGCTAAGAACCAGCGCCGCCGCCTCGCCCTCGCCGCCCACAGCGCGCTGCAACGGCGTCGGCTCGCCCTCGTGCAAGCTTGCGCCGCCGCGCAGCAGGGAGGTGGCGCGGGCGGCGGTGAGGGTCTCAAGGTGCGCGAGCGGCATCCAGCCTCGGCTGGCGACCAGCCAGGCGGCGAGGTCGGCTTGGCCTTCGCTGTTTGCAATCGATTCGGCCATGCGCTCGGTGCCGCGGGAAGCGCCATACTGTGCCGTATCAAAGTCTGTGCAAGTGTGAACAGCAGCTCCTGACCACGCCGCAGGCGCCTGTTGATAGGTCCAGGTGATAGCCCTGGATAGGCAATGCATACGCCTCACTGGGCCTCAGATCCCCCGACCGCGTCCCGGTGCTCTGTGGTCGGATTTGTGACGCCGCCGCACCGCGCCGCGGCCGGGGGCCCTCCCGAGGCCAAGGATGGCCGTGACGGAGCGGGACGAGCTCTGGGAGGTAAAGTGTCAGTGTATATATTGTAGTATGTAGAGACCGCCCATGTGCACAATATCTCTCAGTCTAGCTAAGCCTGGGAAGGCGATGCCAGGGCCGTACAGCAGCTTGATGGTGCTTCGCCGGCGTGCGTCCCGGAGCGGTGGGATGAAAATGGAGGACAGCGCCGACGCCGCTCTGATTCGACTTTTAACTTCAAACAAAGACAGTGGCACGCGCCACCGCGGTGCGTGCCACTGTCAGGAGCAGATACGTCAGTTAGTTGTGTTCACGCCGGGATCGTGTCCTCCGCAACCTGCACAGACTTTAGGCTACAGCAGTACGAGGAGAGGAGCTTGTGCTTGACGACCTCGAGGTGGCCAAAGCGGCACGCGATGTACAGCGGCGTGGCGCCGCCATTCAGGGCTTGGCCGACCGCCGCGCCGGCCTCGAGGAGCAGCCGGGTGCACTCGACGTGGCGAGGCCGCCCACGCGGCCCGATGGGGAGGAACGGGGCGAGCCCCCTCCAACCCACCCGCGCTAGGTCTCGGGGGACGAAGGGGTCACACCCGACGACCTCGGGAACTAGCCGGGGCAGTCGGAGAAGTGGCAACTCCGTGCACTGACGGTCGGCCGCCAGAAAACACGCCTCCGTGGCTCGGGTTAGTTACACCAATCCTCGCTACCCAACGCGGCCAAAGGATATCCACCTCGAGAACCTCGAGAACGTGGCGAAAAGAAATCACAGCGGCGCTCACGGCGCCGTCGTGAGCCGGCGTGAGCCTCCGGTGTACACATTTATGGCCTCCCACCGCATCGGCGCCCGCCTCTCTGGCCTCTCGCCAGAGCAGCTCGTCGCTTTCATCGACGAGCAATGACAAGCCGTGTTCGGCGGCGAAGGCAGCAATGACGAGCTTGTCAACTCGCTGGAGCGGTACGACCCGTCAACAAATGAGTGGGAGGAGGAGGCTGTGCCGCCGATGCCGTCGGCACGAAAGTATGTCGGCACAGCGGTGCTCGACGGCAAGCTCTACGCGGCGGGCGGCCAGGAGGTGGTTGACCTCGCAATTTCCAACATGGCGGAGCGGTACGACCTGGCTACGAACGCGTGGGAGGCGGTGGCGCCGATGGCGACGGCGCGGCTTGCTCACGCCGCGGCGGTGCTCGAAGGCAAGGTCTATGCTGTTGGAGGCTACAACACACTGAGCTCGGTGGAGCGGTACGACCCGGCGACGAATGCATGGGAGGAGGTGGCGCCGATGGCGTCGGCGCGGGACTCTCACGGCGTGACAGTGCTCGACGGCAAGCTGTACGCTGTGGGTGGCTGCAACAACGCCGACGGCATCCTCAGCTCGGTGGAGCGGTACGACCCGGCGCTGGATACGTGGGAGGCGGTGGCTCCGATGGCGGCGGCGCGGTATAATCACGCCGTCGCGGTGCTCGACGGCAAGCTGTACGCTGTGGGAGGCTTCAACTACCGGTACGGCCTCCTCAGCTCGGTGGAGCGGTACGACCCTGCGTTGGATGCGTGGGAGGCGGTGGCGCCGATGGCGCCGGCTCGAAGTCGCCTCTCCGTGGCGGTGCTGGACGGCAAGCTGTATGCTGTGGGCGGGCAGAACGACGAGGAGGACGTGGACGGAGGTATCGGCTGCCTGGTGGAGCGTTACGACCCGGCGTTGGAGGTATGGGAGGCGGTGGCGCCGATGGGGACGGCGCGGGTCTTTCCGACTTTGATGTAGGCGGCTGTCTCTCTCTCTCTCTCTCTCTCTCTCTCTCTCTCTCTCTCTCTCCCGAATGTCTTTTCGTGGTCCTGAGCGTTTTCTTTTGTGCTAGTCCGTGCCAGTCTGCGGGATAAGAATTCTTTTGTGGTGCCAGTCCGAGCCAGTCTGCTGTGAGAGGCGCCCCCGGCTCGTGCAGCTGTGGAACAGGCCACGCCCATAGGGCGCCGAGCGCGCCAGAAACGACCCCGTATTTCTCGGTACTGAGCCCTCCTCTCGACCCGCTCTTGATGTCCATCCGGTCCGCGCCGTCCAGCTGGGCGACGCCGTCGCGTACGAGCCGGCCTCGACGCGCTCGCGGCTGCCGCGGCGGCCTCGGAGGCGCGCTCGGCGAGCGGCCGCGCTCGGCAGTGCTCCTGCTGCTGCTGACGTCGGCGAGCGGCGCTCCAGTGAGCGGGTCCGACAGCGCGGCTCGCCAGGAGGCCATCGACAGCCTCGTGGCTCGCTCGTCGCTCGTCGAGCTGCAGATCTCTGGCTCGCGCACCGGCCTCGTCTATCGCGTCGGCGTGGAAGGCTGCTTGCCGCTGCGGCAGAGCGGCCCGCCGCGCACCCTCTACCTCGTCGCGTGGTCTCTCGGCCATACTATCCTGCCGTCCCGCATCCAGCTCCACCCTCCGATCGGCAGGGAGCAATTCACTGGGGCTGCTCCGCTGATGCGCTCGATGGCGCTCGCGGCCGACGCGGGCGCGTGGCGGAACGGCATATCTGCGACGCAGAAGGAGGGTAAGGTGAAGGCGCGCTCGGATCATCTGCTCGACGAGGCGGCGTGGCGCACGTTCCCCCACGCCGCCAAGCTGCTCGCGCGGTGGGTTGACGGAGCGCTCGAGCCGCTGCCCGCCGGCGTGCAGCTGCTCCGCGCCGAGGGCTACCCGCGCGGCAACCTGATCGACGGTCCCCCCGTGGAGTACAAGGACCTCGTGCTGCTGCTCGACGACGTTGGTGTCTACTCGCTGCTCGTCGGCACCGTCTCGCGGCTCCTCGACCGGCTGACGGATCGTCGGTCGGCGGTCGGCGAGCAAGCGGTCTACGCAGTGTCGGCAGAGCTAAAAGTCGAGGTGCTCGCGCTCTTCGACCCCGAGCTGGAGCTCGGGCGCCGAGCGCGGGAGGTGTACGACGCATTTCTCCGCGCGCCCGACGACATCGAGTCCAGCCCCGAGTCCCCGCTCGGCTCTCCACTCACCGACGGTACGTGCGCCACGCAGCCGCTGGGCGCCGGCATGCGAGGGCGGGCTCGCGCAGCTCGCCGATCCGCAGAGGCGGGCGGCGCAGGACCGCACGCTTTTGCGGCGGCTAGAGCAGCAGACGGACGACGGCATGGCGGCGGTGGACGAGACCGAGATCCTCTCCGAGACCCTCGACGTCGGCGACGGCGGCGAGGAGGAGGAGGAGGAGGAGGAGGCAGCGCAAGAGGAGAGCCCCGGGCGCGCGGCGCGCGCCTCGGGCGAGGAGGAGGGCGCGGATAGGGCCGCCTCGTTCGAGGATGGAGAGGAGGACGGCGAGGATGAATGTGACCAGTCCGCCGGGGAGGCGGCTGGGCTGCTGATACTCGGGTCGGGAGAGTGCGAGGACGACCAGGGTAGCGAGCCTCCTTCGGGAGGGGACGCTGACGTGGAGGCAGACGCCGCATTTGCGCACGCCAGCGAAGAGTCCGCCGAGCTTTAAGAATTCGGGCCGACGGTGCAAAAACAGAGAGGAGCCACACGGGAAACACGACACGCGTCTCTCAAGAGGCAACGGCAAGCACCGGCGCGTCGAGCGGCGCGCTTCAACCGGCGGCACCGGAGGCCGTGCCGCCCGGCCGTGAGACCGGCCGTCGGTTGACGGCGCGCCGCGGCGGCGGCTAGGGCAGGGGCTGCGCGCGCTCGCAAGCAGCGACGAGGCGGAGCGCGCGGAAGGCCGAGGCGGAAATCAGCGCGACCGAGACGGCCTGCGCGGCGGGGACGGCGCCCTCGGATCAGCGTGCACGAGTGGGGGCCTCGGAAGCGGCGAGATGCGGCGCCGAGAGAGGGAGATCTGTGCCGCTCTCGCGCCTGGCGCCGAGCGCAGGCGTCGCGAGCTGGTGGCGGCGCCGTCGAGCGTCGCGAACGGTCCACCGCTCGCGCACGCGTGCAGCCGGTCCAGGGCGGCTAGGCAGAAAGAAGAATGGCGCGAATTGAGGCCGTACGCGCCGAGCGCGAGCCTTGTTCCAGAGCGGCTGGCTGTCGCACGAGCCGGAGTAAAATTCTTTTGTGGGGGCTCCCGCCGAGCGCTGGGAACCCGGAGCGCTGGAACCCATCACCGCCGCTGACGCCCACACCGATGGCCTCCCACCGCATCGGCGCCCGCCTCTCTGGCCTCTCGCCAGAGCAGCTCGTCGCCTTCATCGACGAGCAGGCGCCCCTCTGGAGCGCCGCCGCAATGCGCGTGGCGGAGGAGCACGCCGCTCGGCTCGTGGAGCAGCCCGAGTGGGTGCTCTCCGAGGTCCTCCTCTCGCCGGACCTCGCCCCGCACATCCTCGCCCAGCTGCCGACCACAGAGCACGCCGCCAAGGGGACGTGCCGCGCGTGGCGCCGCGGCTGGAAGGAGACGCTGAAGAAGCGCGAGAGGCCGCGCATGCTCGTGATCGGCGGCAACGACGGCGGCGAAGGCAGCAGCGAGGGCGAGTTCCTCAGCTCGCTGGAGCGGTACGACCCGTCAACGAACGAGTGGGAGGAGGAGGCTGTGCCGCCGATGCTGACGGCACGAAGCTATATCGGCACGACGGTGCTCGACGGCAAGCTCTACGCGGCGGGCGGCATGAATGAGGAGGACGGCGCAACTTCCAACGCGGTGGAGCGGTACGACCTGGCTACGAACGCGTGGGAGGCGGTGGCGTCGATGGCGTCGGCGCGGCTTGCTCACGCCGCGGCGGTGCTCGAAGGCAAGTTGTACGCTGTGGGCGGGTACAGCGGCGGCGTGGTACACACTGGCCACTCCCTCAGCTCGGTGGAGCGGTACGACCCCGCTACGAACGCGTGGGAGCGGGTGGCGCCGATGGCGGAGGCGCGAGTTACTCACACCGTCGCGGTGCTTGACGGCAAGCTGTACGCTGTTGGCGGGTACAACAACGGCTGGCTCAGCTCAGTCGAGCGGTACGACCCTGCGTTGGATGCGTGGGAGGCGGTGGCGCCGATGGCGGCGGCGCGGAACTATCACGCCGTGGCGGTGCTCGACGGCAAGCTGTATGCGGTGGGCGGACTGGATGCCGGCCACAACCACCTCAGCTCGGTGGAGCGGTACGACCCCGCTACGAACGCGTGGGAGGCTGTGGCGCCGATGGCGGAGGCGCGGTATGCTCACGCCGTGGCCGTGCTCGACGGCAGCCTGTACGTTATGGGCGGGTACAACAACGGCTTCCTCAGCTCAGTCGAGCGGTACGACCCGGCAGTGGGCGCGTGGGAGGCGGTGGCTCCAATGGCGGCGGCACGGATGAAGGCTTTCGCCATCTTGATGTAGTCGCCGTTGTGTGCGTGCGTGCTAGCCCCACGGCGTGTGTGCTGAAGTCCCTCGCCTGAGTGTGCGTGCCCCCGTCAATCCTAGAAAAAACATAGAAAAAAGAAATCCGCGCTTATAGCCTCTCCATGTGTTTATCACAGAGTAGCCCCGGGACGGTCGGGGGGGGGGGCGGCGGCCTCACGCCCGGGACTCACCCCGAGACCCCACCCCGGGACGCGCCGGCTGCGGGTGAGGCCCCACCCCCGGGGCAGTGAGGGGCAGGGGCGGGGCGGAGCTCCTCAGAGTGAGGCGCCCCGGGTGCCCCCCCACCCCCCCCACCCCGCCCCCCGGGCACCCGACCCGCCCTCAGCTCTCAGCTCCCCACCACGCAAGGTGCAGCGGACGCCGACCTGGTGGGCAAGCGGATGATGAAGACCTTTGGCGGCCATGGCACCTTCGTCGGAGATATCGTCTCTTACGACCCGGAGACGGGATGTTACCAGCAGGTCACCTATGAGGACGGCGACAAGGAGGGCCTCTCGCGAGCCTCTGTCGAGGCTGGCGTGCGGCGATTCCAGGCCCAGGCAAAGTGATGCGATCCGTCTCGCCGAGGCGCGCTTTTTTGCGTCCGCCAGGAGGCGTAGGTTGCGATAGGGAGGAGGACGAGGACGAGGGCGGGCACGGTGAGCGGCGAGCAGCTCACGAGCGAGGACGCCCCCGTCGAGGAGACGGCAGACGAGAAGGCCGGGGCCGCCGCCGGCAGGCTAGGCTCGGCTAGCGAGCTGTAGCCCAGTTGAGACCCCGGTTTCGCGCACATGCGCATCGCATGGCCGCTCGGTCTGCCAATAGGCGTCCACGAACTGGGCAGATGGGCCATCACGAAACCTTCGGCATCTCTACCGCAGGAAGGCTGCCAATGATGAAATGATGAGCACCAACGTCTCTTGGTGCTGTCCGTTAGTGTCGCATCGAAGAGGACAGGGCCTCCGGTGAGAAAGGAGGCCCACCAACTGAATGACCCAAAGTTGAACACCGCACCGCCACACATGGACAGCGCGAACATTACGACGGCGGGGTTGCGATGGTCGATGGCCACAACGCTGGCATTCGCCTCACGACTGCCTTTGGCGTACAGAGCCTCGCGCTGGGCGGCAGTGCTTGCATAAGAGGAGGTGAGGAATACCCATTTGGATTTGCCTCGCGCTTGTAACATCTCGGCGAGGCGCGGCAAAGCTTGCGAGTAGAAGGCCTCCGTTGGGTGACAATCAAAGTAGCCGTCTCCTATGCTGTCGTTAAATCGGGCGTAAACGCTGCCGCACTGGGCGGTGGGTGTTTGGCCATCAATCGATGTCACCACCAATCCGTGTGCTCTCAGCAACTGGGCGGCTGCATCCTGTATCGCAGGGGCAAAGCGGAACTGGTCTCGAAGGGATTGCGTATGACAGCCCTCCCAGTATGCCGGGGACTCGGCAGTCGGCGTTCGCAACGACCTTGCCGGGCGCCACGACGGCGACGGCCGGCTCGGTATGCATGTGTCCGTGGACGTGCAGCGCGGCGGAAGAGCGCAGGAAGGCCTCGTGCAGCCGCGGCGCGTCCTCGCCGCGCACGTCCTCTTGCCCGGGCAGCTTGGGGTTGGAGTGCGTCACGAGCACGTCGATCGGCATCGCGCACGTCGCGTCGACCGCACCAAAGTAGCCGCCCCTCTCCACTTTGCGCAGGCCCTGCGTGTGCGAGGCCGGGATGCCATGCGCCGCACCCAGCACCAGCGACGCTGCCGCTGCCGCGGTCGCCGACGCCGAGCCGGCCGGTCGCGACGCCGCGCCGACGTGAAGCGCGCGGAGCCTCTCGGCCAGCCGCGCCTCCTCCGGCTGCTGCGCCTTGTGCTGCCGCTGCTGCCGCTCGAGCTTGGTCGGCTGCGGCCGCCGCTCGAACGAGCAAGCCGCCCAGAGCGCCGCACGGTCCTTCTTGCTCAGCCCAACCAGCTGGTCGGCCGTCGGCGCGACCGGCGGCGCTGGCTCGTGTTGCTCCCGCTCCTCGGCCGGCAGCTCCACTGCCGGCGCGGTGGTGGCGGCGCTGGCGGCGCTGGCGGCAGCGGCAGGCGTCGCGGCCGAGGGTGCATCCGCAGTTGCTGTATCCGCCGTCGCAGGCTCGTGTTGCGCCCGCGTCAAGGGCACCGTGAGGGCGCCGCCTTGAGGGAGCATGCACGGCAGGCCCGTCCTGGTGTTGCGCCAGTCCAGGTGCTGCTCCGAGCACAGGTCGTGGTTGCCGTAGACAATGTGCACGTCGCCGTTGGGGAAGGAGTCGCGCAACCAGTCGAGCTCCGGCACGGCGTCACTCTTGACGCCACGCAGCTCGTTGCCCGCCGACGCCATGTCGCCGGCCACAAGCACAATGGCCCGCGCCACCGCCTCGGCGCCGAGCTCATTGTCGAGCGTTTGCAGCGCCTGCTCCCAGAAGTGGCGCTGCGTGGCGGTTTCGATCTGCCAGTCCGAAATGCATATCAGCGGTCGGCCTGCTCGCAGAAACGGCAGGTGAACCTCGTATCCCCGAGCAATGTGAACCGTCGGTGGATGCTTGATGCGGAATGCAGCGCCTTTACGGTTGTCGTACAATGGAATTTGGTCGATGCTGGTGTGTGGCTCTTGCGAAGGTTGCGCCATCTTGCGCTCGACTTTATCGCGTGCGCTTCGAGAGTCGTTCGGCGTGGATCTCACCGAGCGGTGTCCGAGTTGTCAACGCATGGACGGGTCCTGGACACATATCCCCTGGTCGGTGCAGGCCTGGACTTGGTGGGAAATCCAAGTCCGCAATGTTGTCGATCGCCGTACGCACGAACGGACGCAGATCTTATCTGACAATCTGACTTAAACGGGGAAGGAGCTAGGGAACTGACGTTCGCCAGAACTTCACAATCGTCCAACGGTAAAGTACTGGAGGTGGTAGAGGGTGTGGACCGTGAGTTGAACAAAATCCGGGGACGCGACCCACCTCGCCACAGACGGTCCCGCGCCTCGCCGCTATGACGGGGACACACCCCGCACCGTCCGCTGTGTCCCCGTCTTTGTCCGGAGTGAATACTCCAACGCGCTCGTCGGTGACGGTGTCCCCCGATTTCGCCGCGCTCGGCGAACCTCGACAGCGCTTTCGGTGGCATGCAGCTCTTTGCGCCTGAAGCCTGGAGTGAAGCTCCTCTGCTGCTCACACACTCTGCACAGATGGCACAGCCCACTGTGCGGCTGCCACAGCTGTGACAGCGATGGGCTCGCCCTCACTGGCCCTCAGTCAGTTGTGCTGCGGCTTGTGTGAGCGACACTGCTCGGCGACTGCCGGCACACTGTGAGACCATGGGTGTGAGGTAAAACCACGCTACCAGCGCTTGGTCACATCAGCCCTGAGGTCAGATCCTTCTCCTCTGTTGATGGTAACACTTGTCTACTCGCTGGAGCCGAGCAGGAGGGCTTGGCGCACAACCCCTGTTCAACTCAGGGTCCACACCCCGTACATCAGCTCAACATCTCATTTTCACATTCTGGTTTCTGCCCGGCATGCGGCATAGGGGCGTCTGTGCAGTCTACGTTGGCACAGATTTGTACTAGGGGGTGTAACAGACAACACGGAGTATTCAACAAACGACGATTTTCCCGTCGGCCCTCTCTCGAGGGCCGGACTCCGCTCTTTTGTGTCGGGCCTCTCACGGACCGCGGCGCGCTCTCCACCTCCACGACTCGAGCTTTGCGGCCGCGGGCCGGCGGTCAGATGATGTGGAAGCCCTCGGTGTCCGAGACCGCCTTGAGCAGCTGCGCCTTGAGCTTGGACTTTGTCGTGTACTCGGGCAGCAGCAGGTGGTTGAAGCAGGTGGTTGAAGCAGGTGTGTGCCGACGGGAGTCGCTCCTCGTCGGAGCCGTTGCGCGAGATGACGAAGGAGAGGTTGCCGAGCCCCTTGATTGGCACCCGGTCCGAGCCGGTGCAAAAGAAGAGGAACTTCTTCTTCATCTCGAGCGGCAGCTCGTGGATCACCTCCCACAGCAGCGCGATGCACGGGCTGTCACAAGAGAAGCCGTCGTCGTACTGCGTCACCCGCTCCAGCGCCTCGAAGTCGAGATTTGGCGAGCCGCACAGCAGCAGCTCGAGCTCCTCCCACCGGAAGAGCTGGATCGCCTATACGGGGAGATATGGGGAGATGTGGTGAGATGTGGTGAGATGTGGGGAGGTGTGGGGAGGTGTGGGGAGGTGTGGGGAGGTGTGGGGAGGTGTGGGGAGGTGTGGGGAGGTGTGGGGAGGTGTGGGGAGGTGTGGGGTGATGTGGGGAGGTGTGGGGAGATGTGGGGAGGTGTGGGGAGATGTGGGGAGGTGTGGGGAGATGCGGGGAGGTGTGGTGAGATGTGAGGAGATGTGGTGAGATGTGGGGGAGATATGGGGAGATCGCTGGATCGCCTCGCCGCCGCAGACCGACTCGAAGCCGCGCAGGAAGGCGTCCGACTGCGTCGCAACCGAGTCGACGAGGAGGTACTGCGTGTACAGCCGCACGTACTCGGCGCGGTTGGCGCCTAACACAAAGAAAGCGCGAACCTCGTCTTTCTTTTTTTCCGTGGGGCGTAGCGCGTAGTTGGCGCGGCCCGCGCCCGTCACGGGCACCTCGCCGCCCCCCTCGACGAGGTCGAAGACCTTCCGCTCCCCAAACTCCTCGTAGGCAACTTGCATGCACAGCGCAAAGGTCTCCTCCACCTATGTATGTGGGAAGGTGAAGAACAGCCAGGCTCGGACAAGACACCATCGCGGTATGGGTGGACGCGAGACAGAAGACGACGGCACGCTCGAGCGACACACACACACACACACACACACACACACACACAAACACACACACACACACACACACACACACACACACACACACACACACAAGCTCACAAGACGCACCTGCTCCGCCGGCGCGAAGTCGAGCAGCTGCTGCAGCGAGCGGCCGACCAGCGGGAAGGCGCGCTGCAGGTCGGTCATGCCGAGGGGCTGCCGCATCAGCTTCTTGTACACGACGTGCGGGAAGCGGACCTGGATTCGGGTGCTGTGGGGGTAGGGTGACTGGGTTCGGGGAGTGTGGGGCGTGCGGGAAGCGGACCTGGATTCAGGTGCTGTGGGGGCAGGGTGACTGGGTTCGGGGAGTGTGGGGCGTGCGGGAAGCGGACCTGGATTCGGGTGCTGTGGGGGTAGGGTGACTGGGTTCGGGGAGTGTGGGGCGTGCGGGAAGCGGGCCTGGATTCGGGTGCTGTGGGGGTAGGGTGACTGGGTTCGGGGAGTGTGGGGTGTGCGGGAAGCAAACCTGGATTCGGGTGCTGTGGGGGTAGGGTGACTGGGTTCGGGGAGTGTGGGGCGTGCGGGAAGCGGGCCTGGATTCGGGTGCTGTGGGGGCAGGGTGACTGGGTTCGGGGAGTGTGGGGCGTGCGGGAAGCGGACCTGGATTCGGGTGCTGTGGGGGTAGGGTGACTGGGTTCGGGGAGTGTGGGGCGTGCGGGAAGCGGACCTGGATTCGGGTGCTGTGGGGGTAGGGTGACTGGGTTCGGGGAGTGTGGGGCGTGCGGGAAGCGTATGTCACCGATGACGCCGTTGTAGATTGCGACGCCGATCAGGACGCCG